GTAAGATAAAAAGGTCATCCTGGGTCGACGCAAGGCCTCCTTCTATCTGCATAATTCGACAACCTCGATAACTCAAGATCAAGTGTAAAACTAAAGCAGTAGCCAAAACAGACCGCTAGCCTGCGCTTCTCATCAGCATTGTCTGCTCCTCTATCAATTTCGCAAGTGAACAAGTTATGACCCGCTTCAGCTCCAAGTGCCGTTTCTGCATCTATGAATTCCACCGCTGACATCCACATTCCACGATAATCTCTGAAAAATTCAGGAAAAATATAGGCAAGTAAAAGTTTCAAAACAAACGAAATGGCGCCTAAGCTGTTTATGGACGAAATCAAAAGGACTTACTTCGCTACTTCTTCAAATGTGCTTTCCACTGCCTTGTAATTCAATATCGTCATTGAGCGCATAAGATCTCCCACCAAAACTTGATCACCCTAAAAGTGTTGATTTACTTCCCCACGTCTTGAAAGTTTCAATTCTACTTCCTACCTTAACTTTGATGAAGAGAGCGGTGATATAATTGAAATGAGAGCACTCCAACCGTAGCTCTTTCTCTGCAGTCCATTCAAATAGCCGCACAGAGCTAAAAATCATGCACGCCCTCGATTCAGTTCCCTTTATAACTCGAGAAAGTTTGAATATTGGTAACAGGTAACCATAATTTTGAAGTTTGCTGCCCCCCCCCCCCCGTCCCCCATCCGTTGTCAATATAGTTGAAAAATTATTCAATCAAAAGCGAATCATGAATAAAGACTTCAAGATACCTGTTGATCGCCACAATAAGTTTGCCGTTGAGCACATCCATATCGAACGGTGCACCTCGTATTTCTTTCTCATGCACTAATCGCAAATGAGTTCGCTCTGAACCCTTCCCAGATTCGAAGACTAGAAGACGACCCTGTGAAAAAAGGTATTCGTTAAAAGAAATCAGTCCACAAGCGCTTATACAGCAGAGAATATACCCACATTCTTCGACTCCGTTTCATCACTATAGACGAGGGCTGTGCCGACGATATAATACGTCGTTGGATCATCGCCGAGTTTCGTCGAAATCACACTAAAACGATTTTGCGGATTTCAGGAGATCTCAAATTGCATTCCAAAGGTATGAAGCAAGAAACTAGTACGAATCTAATTAGGAAAGGCTAACTAGTAATGAACAACCACACAACAGCCAAACGCAAAGTGAACGGTCTTGAAAAAGCGGATAAACATTTTGAAAATGTATACAAGACCGTTATTTTCACGTTACGAGAGTCAAGACAGAGAAGTTCTGCGGATAAGAATTTGACACTTACTCAGGAAAATGAGGCAGAAAATAAGAAAATTCGAGAAATGGATTACCTTAAAGCTTGTTCACATGCTCCAAGTTCATGACAATGCAAATATTCGAAAGTGTTATCGTCAAGCGTCACAATGGAATGCGCATCGCCATCAGTTGCATCAATGGAGATCGAAGGCCGTTGACCTGAAGTGACAATTCAAATAATACTCTCCAAAAGTTCCGTGAAAGCCACAACAAGAACATACCAGAAGTCGTTTTACTAGCTGACTTTGCTGTTGCCATTTTCGATACGGAATATCGATCGGAGTCCTGAAGGAGAAGGTCCACGTGTAGTTCTTGGCGCAGAAATGAGAACGATCATCAACTTACAAGTGGGCGACTAACGAGGATCGCCATGGTGGATGTCTCCGGCTGATGAACAACTCGCCGCACAGATTCTCCTAAAGCTACTGTGCGAATATATGCAATACGAAGTTATTACGGTTCCAATTACGATGGTCTCTCCATCCGACATCACAAGGCTATTCCTAAAAGACGCGATGACATTATATTGTTTACTAGCATTATTTTATATAAACCAGAGTTTGTCATTCAAAAAAGCAAACCTGTAAGATGACGAGTTCAGAGCGCAAACGTGTGTAACTATACGAAGATTCACATTTGAAAACACCAATTTCCCATTAGACGAGAGATCACGGGCCGGGCGGTCACTGCAGACGAACACATGCATTTGACCACGAGTATAAAAACGATTCAAACTTGGCGGCTGTGTTCCAACTGTTGCTTTTTTCATTTCCAGCAAAGCACCTGAGATCAAGAAATATGCCCTGAAATGTCAGGAACGAGAAAAAATCAGCTTTACCGTTTTCGCGATCAACACGGTAGTAGTACAGTGTTCCATCTCCCAATGCTACCATCAGATAAATCGTATTCTCGAGCTTCGTCATCATTATGGAACGTGGTAACATATCGCCAGGCATATTTTCGCAAGTCACCTTTGAATAAGGAAACATATTTAACAAGAAATAACAATGAAACGAGCGAGTACCATGCAAACGATGCAGCTATTTGCATCGCGAGCACTATGCGGAAGGTCAGGGGCTTTTACGTTCTTGAGCAAGAGCTCATAACAATGAGCATGACTTGAAGAGAAGTGAAGTATGGTAAAGGAGAGGTAAAAATAAGATAGTACGACAGCTTCAAATAAAAAATATGACATGGGAAACGAAGGTTCCTATTCGTGATTGGAACTCAAGTAAATCAGATGATGAAACTACTCAGCGATCCTAATATTGAGTTTACAAAGAAATCACAGCATGGAAGTAGACCTTATTGCAAAGTGGGAAATAATCGACTCGAGCTTCTAAAAGACCATGGTTGGCGTATCTGATAAATTCAAAAAAATTGACTCACCTCAAGCAAGGCCGGCAAAGAATACAGAGCAATTCTATGATGCTTCCAGAAGCCTACTGCGATTATCGTAGAATCTTGCGACTCTTCTGAAGTATTTCCTCTATGAAATGAAATCTGTCTTATAGGAAAGCTGACCAGTCAGTAACAAACCTATAGTGCCAATATCTATGCATGCCACCTCATCTTGGAGTGTCACATTCGCAACTTCGGTGATCGTCATATCACCACATTGAAGGTAGTAAACGCGTGTGCCACAGGCCACTACTAGCTTAAAAACGACTGAGTCTCAAGTGCACTCGGAAATATAGAACAATCCTCAACGAGTACCTGCCCGCTTCCTTGATTTACGGACACCAAGTTGATCAGAGTACTGTGCGATGGTTTCCAAGTAACCTTTTTAGCCCCTTCTCTTGCTAGTAAAACGGTGGTAGACGTTACCTGAAATGAATCTTTCACTCTAGAAATCGAATAAAAAGAGCACTTAGGAAAAGAATCATGAATAGCCGCTAAAATTGATTGAGCTTTAACTTGTAGAAATACGAAGGAAAAGAGGAATTCCACAACAAAAAAAAACTAAGAATAGCAACTCCAAAAAACGTAAAGTACCACAGAAGATAGCCGTTAACGGAAACAAAAAGGCAAAATCTAATTCTCACTTGTAAAACAATCTGTGACAGTCCGAGCATCCCAGCCCACAAAGTATGCTCGTCTGTTTCCAGATCTGAATGAAATGGAAATTAAGCATGCGGTGTGTCTTCCCATTTTTATAAGAGGGCTACAACCAAGTAAAACTGGGTATCCTCCAATTCTTCTCCATTCATCGCCAATATGTGAGTTTCCGAGCTTAGTGAAATGATGAGATAATTGTCAAGCTTGGAATCAATCTTCAAAGTGAAAATACCCTGAAAAAAAACCCTACAGATTCGATCACGTAAAAGCTAGATGACACAACGAACCTTGACACCTGGGATGTCTACCGAAGCAGCTTCGTCAATACCTATGCCATTCCGAATGATACGAGAGAGCCCTCCTATTAGCTGACTTTAATTCAGGGCAGAATTAGAAAATTCGTACTTTAAATGCTCCGGAACAAGTAATGATTTGATTCTGTCCATCACACTCCATGACTGCTATATCTCTGATCGGAGCGAGGTTGGTGAAAGTTTGCAAAATCTGAAAAAAGCCTCACTAAAGAACGAAAACTCTAGTGTTTGCATCCATGCACGGTGAAGCCAGATGCAGGCTGTGCAGCGTGGCCTATCTCGTGAACGATGTGACGATATCTTTGCTCAGGACTAGAGAGGAAACAACAAGGACCAAGGCTTGAATTTCCGAAACGGATACTGTTCAAAAATTTGCGGAAAAAGATAATCGGTAGAAACAAAAATACAAAATTCGGTATAGGCCAACCTGCACAAATGAGTTATTCTCCGGATTCGGCTGTGAAGTGAGACGAACCAACTGGGAATCACCAAAGCGTGAACCGATAAACAAAACACCATTATCCAAGTAGACTAAACACTCCGCAATCGTAGTTTCTCCAAGTGATTCGATCTTCAAATGGAGCATTCACGTTACAAATGAGTGACACTAATTGCCCAATCAGCCTCTTAGTTATCTAACGACAGCAGACGAGTCATCAAGAGCAAACCTTCAAATCCTTAACGCTGGGATTAGGACTTTTGGTATCCACATCCAGAACGAGCATATACAAAATACCGTGATCATCAGCCAACAGAAATCTACAAAAACAAACGCTCTTCGAAATTGAAAAATGCATCACGAATGAAGAAACATTACCTCTGCCCATTGGAATCAACAGGAGCGTAGCTTGTGAAGAGAGATCTGTTCATCGTGTTAGGCGAAATTGTCAAATAAACGTTGTCTTCGCTTCAAAATGCAGATTTCAAACCAGGCCAATAAGAGCGGAGAACAATTCAATCTCAAAATATAGTTAGAGCACTGCGGTCTTACTTACCCATTGTACAATATAGTTTCTTGACCGACGACAATCACACCTCCACATGGCAACGGCACAGGTATAACCATCCTGGCTTCTGTTTCGATGTTATCCTAAACGTCTACGAGTAACATGTGGGAAAGAAAAGCAGTCACAACATGGAAACTACAATTGAACCTTCGCGTCTTGATTCTCTGCACCACCTCTGCTCAATTCAAACAATATTCATCAATAATGAAAATATCTCATCTCACAACAGTGACCTTTTTACAAAAATCGGACTCACTTGCTTTGAAATCGTTTTTAGTTCCTTCTCCACCATGGAAAGTTCAACGGTCTTCAAGTGCCTACCATTGGAGTCCTGAGAAATATAGGCGAGCCTAATGGAGTCACCTAAACTTTGAAGCATAAATCCGTAAGAAAACAAGAAGTCATCATGCTTGAATTTCATCATAGTAAGCAGAAAACTAACTCGAAATTAGAAAACATATGATGATGACCAGAGTGGTTATAGAAGCAAATAAGTACTAACTTGATGTTTCTGTGAAGCTCAAGTCCACAATAGCAAGATCTTCAAATCGAACATTGAATGACTTCAAGTCTTTGTTATCTTCCCATTGTATAATTTTCAGCGTTCCGTCATAGATACGCAAAGCAATCAGCTGTAAGTGAATACAAAATACAAAGCAAGTCTACGAAAATATCAGTGTGATTTTGGTTATTGGCAACGGACTTCAAAATAAAAAGGAGGAGTGTCGTAATTAGCTCAACTCATTCCTGAACTTGTACTTTCTGTCACCACTACTTGTACTTTCTGTCATGGTCCTGTGGAACGCTAGCGGAGGCAGATAGGGGAAGGTGGCTGTCACAGCTACGAACAATAAAAGATTGATGTTCAAACAGTAATACCAAGATGGATGGAGTGAGAATTAGGGTGACAAGTAAACGGGAGTACTCTTCAAAAGAAAGTTCGAGTTGGCCTTAGACTGACCTCGCAGGTTTACATTTATTATACCATGAGGTCGTGAGGTCATGCCAAGCGCAACGGTCCCCGTGAGGCAAATGTTCCATTGTATGTTATATCAAGCCCAGCTTCACCCCGCTACCCAGTTTTTCAGTTCCCTTTTATGGCTATCGTATATTTCTCCACCTCATGGGGAGGGGGGGGGAGGGGACACCAACTCTTTCCTAGGAACACCCCTTACCATTTTCTTTTACAACGATCCCTCTACAGATCCCCTCCGCAATACCGCTCCATGCACTTCCTCAATTTTTTTTTCACAACGCTCTCAACTTTGAGAATGGACTATCTCTGGAATAGATTTGCTTTCTCTTTCAGATGACGTAACTTCAATGAATAGTCAGTTGGCTGAGAAAATACTTCAAGGAAACTCACGCCAGATTTATTCACACAAGCGATCGGGCCGTAGTCACTTGGCCTCTGACCAAACACGCCCGAGCCTCTCTTTCGGCCCTCTCGATCGCAAACGCTGCCAGCAGCTCGCGTTTTCAGTTCATTTCGCTCAACATCCCACGCCACAATAGCCAAGTGATTTTTCGCCGTAAGAATTAGTAGGCTGTGTCACGAGTCTAAAAAGAAGTGTAAGAAATAATGCCACCAAACTACGGCAAAGCTTTCTTTCCGCAGAAATGTGCTATGACATCAGCAGCAGTGTAACGTTCATGCCAAAAGGGAAAGCGGTCACCATGAGGTTTTGATACCTTGACAACAGTATAGTATCATAGCGTACAACATTTTGCGGGCCGATGCCAGACTTTGCGAATCGCGCGATTCGCTAGCGTCTGCGGTCGCGTCGCGGCCAGTGAATCACTCAACTGCTGGTACCGCAACGCGACCGCGGACGCTAGCGAATCGCGCGATTCGCAAAGTCTGACATCTGCCGCAGGCTGCAAGGAGCGGGTGGTTTCTTCGGAAAATTTCTGGGACCGCTCCTGCAAAATTGCGCTTGCCACTCAAAAGGGAAAATGCGCTCTGTCGTCAAGTTGCTGGAGAAAATCCTACATGACCTCCAATTCTCGAAAATAAACAAAACCTCGTTTTTGGGCCGGAACAGCCTGATTGTTTCGATTCTGCCGAAAACAGGAACTTCTTGGACCACCCCTTCAATCCATCTGACGCGACCTTCACAATTTCTAACCGGTTCACTTTCGCGAGGATCAAGTTCATATCGTCATCGCCTGATTGTTTGAAAGAAATACGGTATCAGAACTGTTCATCTAGGTATATGAAACCCAGAATTGATCAAGCTCACCAGTGAAGTTGCCCACGACAGCATCTGTGACAACTGACGCCTTCTTCGCAGAAACAATGTAGTTCAACGCCATTTAGTAGCGAACCACTTCCCGCTGAATTGTGGAAATATGGGGCAACCTAAAATCATCGTTAAAATTGAAAGATGTGTAAATTCTTTTGGATGGTGTTCAAGCGTAACAAAGGCCCAGAAAAGAGTTGTGAGATAAAAAACTGAAATGAGAATAAAAGAGAGGGCAATTTGATCCGAGCGTTCGATTACCTCAACTAAAAATCTGAGAGCCCAGCCTATAAAGATAGGTCTGAACCTCAAAAGGCACACCCCGGATTATGCCCCAATAGTAGAATCTAACAGCTCAGTGAACGAGTTAGGTCTATACGGCTATCAAACCCCGTCGTGCTTCGCTTCGTCGGCATGAAATCACGATGAGGAAAGATATTTGAAGACCAGAAACGATAATAGAAAAACAAAACAAAATAATGCCACCATAGACCGTGTTTTTTAACCCACCCATAAACACAACCGAAAGCGAAGAGCCACGCTCCCACTCGCGCGCTGGTCGCCCTCTTTAATTTATTGGGACACTAACCCATTCGGCGATTCCTCTCCTTCAGGCCCTTCCTCGACCTATCGTGTTTTTGCTTTGCTCAACTTTCCAAAAATTATATGGCGAACGCAATAAATCCAAAGAAAGGTACGTCCCTAAACACCGCGCGTGAACACCATGGACGGACGTTGTCTTGCAATCATCTATCACACCTCGGAGCCGCATTAGAGCCACCTTTTTGTTTTCCTTTCTGTTCATCACACGCTAACATACACGTCCACTTTTTTCTAATCCGCATTTGAGAGGGTCTTCTGAAGTATCAGGTCTGATCCGCCGGAGAAATCGTCTCCACGGAGAGAAAAATACTATACAAAACCGTAACAAACACGGAGGAAAGGCAGGAGCCGATTTGAAGCAGAAGACGGCGAACACCATCCAGGAATGCGCTGGCAAATTAATAAGTAATTCAACGCTTTCCGTGTTATTGTTATACTGAAGTTGTTATTTAAATCAAACCGTAGCCGATGTAGCACTCACGCAACATCTGTTTGCCCAGCAAGATGCATCGCGCAGCCACTCACCATATGTCGTGGATTTGCGCACGAATTTTCTTCGTTTATACAAATCTTTCTTTGAAAAATAGGTTTTCCAAGATTGCCCCATCGAACTAGGGCTAAGCTCAGGTGAGGAGTGAACACTAGGGAAAGAAAGAAACTGCTCACATCCGTTTAGAATCCTTTCCCCTCCCCGAGGCTTGGTACCAAGTGTGATAAGTGGTCACTCACTCGAATGTCCCCTCCCCCCAACGACGTAAGCGCCTAATCTTCCTCTCCCTTGAGCTATAAATCACGATCGTAGTATGCATCCTTGCAATTTGCTATATCGCGATCGTAAAACCAAATAATTATATAGTTCACACTAAAGCCTCATGGTCGCTATTTATCTGCTTCACACACGAAGTGCGGATGAAATGCAAGGCATTCGAAAAGTATGACTGCGGCTAGGGTAGCTGCTACTCTCAGCACTCTAACGTTAACGGCCAGGCTAACAAGTTATTAAACTGCTTCAAAAGGAGCCTTGTTCAGCTCGTCGCTGATCTTAGTATTTACTCTCTGTCTCCCACATCGTGGTGCACACGCGACGATTCTTGATGAAAAGACGATCCCGTATGCTTTAGGATGCTCTTGATCTAATACCACGTCAATTTCTGCAGTAGTGTTCACTTGGGGGCGGGTAACAAAGTATAAGTAAATGTGTGGCCATAGGCAATTGTAAAAGCTCCAAGCGATTTGTAAAGCTTTGATCAATCTATTCTGTTTCAGGAAAATTGATACGTCATTACGAAAGGATGCTATTGAGCTTGCTAATGGTGCTGAATGGGGAGGACAGGTATATTAGTTGTTTTATGCTACCTTACTTCCTCGTTGTCATAGTCACAATATAGATAATGTCCATTGATGACGAATATCGATGGGCAGGCACGAAGGATCCTAAAATTGTTATCACTACAAGTCGTGAACCATCCAGCAAGTTGAAAGTTTTCGTAAAAGTGGGTGCTACCAAGTGTAATATGTATCTACGGTTTGACGCTGTGTGATTTCCATATTTCTATTACTTTAGGAGATGAAATTAGTTTTCCCTAATGCTCAGCGCTTAAACAGAGGTCACTACGATGTTAAACAGCTGGTACAGGCTTGTCGAGCAAACGACGTAAGTGCTTGATTACATTGCACCTTTGACGTTATAATATACTTCTCTAATGACCGTCATTATACTCTGCGCCGAGCGCGCGTTTTGGAAGAAATGCATAATCCCATTTTCGCATCAGCTCTTGCACGCTCAGCGCAGCACTTGCTTTTTTTCGGGAAGCGCCCGTTTACGCAAAACATGAAAGCCACTGCGAATGTGGAAAAACTACAGGGTGCGCCAAAATTACGGAGACAGCACTTCCGCGCACTATTGGGACCACTATTCAAAGATGCTGTTTACTGCTGCGCTCATTTTGGTTTAGTTGTGTTGACCTGTTCATAATTATCTTGTTTGACCACCAATATGTATGATTGTTACGATGGCTGAATGATTCTGCCGCTATTTCTAGATCACTGAACTTCAACTTTGAGTGTTTGCGGCACGCAAGAATTATCAGCGTTTTGGTTTTTACCTGGGTACCAATCATGGATCCACTAAACGCTCCAAGGAGTAAGGAACCGAATGCACTCATTCTGGATGGGAAGGCTGTGTTTCCGAGACGGCCACGAGCAATGTCAGCATGGTGCGCAACAGAATTTGGTGGCACTTCGCGCACTCGTTCCGCCGAATGTCACGAGAGATGGACATTAAGGAGATTACTTGAGAATTCCCAAGCAAATTGATTTAAAAAACATTGTTTGATCTTTCATAAGGAAGGGATTTCCATAGGGCAAGGGTGGTGCTGAACTGGGTCAGAGCCAATTTTGTCGAATTCATCACTTTTAACGAGTTGGTCAGCATTTCAGATTCTATATAAATGGCTTACACTGTAGAATTGATTCTGCAAGCTGAAACTTGCACGGAACTTTACATTTTTGGGGATTATTTTGAGAATTGCTTCAGAATACGTAGAACGGATTCTACGCTGAAGCACTACCTTGCGTGCCACCGCCGATGGTTCCTCACTGCTTCTCAAGGCCCGTATAAGTGCCAACGAAGGAATTTCTGAGATTTGGCAGATGTTTACGATTCATTATTGAACAGTGAACGTTACTGCATTTTTGGCTTCCTGGAATTGTGGCGTGTTCATTCTAGGCGACTCGAAATCGCTGTCTCCGTAATTTTGGCGCACCCTGTAAAAATTATGTTTAGGTGACTGACTTCATAATGTTAACTGAGACTCGTGGAAATCCTGATGGCATGGTCGTCTGTCATCTACCATTTGGACCAACAGCCTATTTCACCATGTCTAATGTCGTGATGCGTCACGACATTCCAGATCGAGAACCCATGAGTGAACAGTATCCTCACCTTATTTTTCACAATTTAGGCAGCAGGCTAGGACAAAGGGTATGTCGTGCAGTTCGAGCTTTTCTTTCAATTTTGAGTGCTGTTTAAGTTTTTTACACTTTGTTTATTTGAACCGTTTGGAGTCTTTGTGGATACTCTCTCAAAGCAAAATGTCTCCATAATTTCGCTCATTCATGCAATGTGGAAAAGGCTAGTTGCATTAGCTAGTGCTGCAGTCACATGTCCCTTAATCTACATCTGCGATGATGGTGGTGGATCTTGGGTAAGAAAGGGAGCATATTATGACCTGGGTTGCGTCAGAGGATCAACCATACTCTGCGTTTCAGGCTCCGGACAGCGCGACCTCTCAGAGAAAGGAGTTCCGCAGCAGGGGAGGGCAGCTACAACATCACGCGTTCAATGGCAGGTCCTATGAAGCAACTCTGTCTCCCTCATAGGATAGGATCTGTGGCGGGGGGGGCGGTTCCCTGGGGAAGGATAGGTTACGGCCCCTGGTACATCCTTGATCTTGTCTTTCAGCGGTCCGCTTACCAACTGCTTCCCCATAATTTGCCAATTTTCTGGTTAAAGGATTGCTTGTCTGCAATTCATGATGATGATCGCAAACCATTCGTCCGAAGCGATGGTTCAATTCACACGGCGTCTCTTTTAGTACCCAAATCGCGTCCCGCTGCCAAGACCAACTGGCCGAAATGTTCGCTGTCCGCCATATTGTGATTGACAGTGTGGAAGCGGTTGTGCAGAGTTGGAGTACACTACAGAAGTTTTCTGGTCGAAGGAATCTCAAAATGAATCATTTCAGTTCACTTCCATTCTCAAATACCTATTCCCAGTGCCAAAGGAAAGCTCTAAAAGAGTAATCACTTTTGCTAACACCGATGATTTCATCTCATTTCGGCACCACACATATTCGGTACGTAGCTGCCTTGGTTTCATTGTGCTAAGAAATCGAATATTTGTTTCTTTAGATAGCCCAAGGTGGAGAAATCGAGCTGAAAGAAGCTGGACCTCGTTTCGAGTTACGACGTAAGTCATGTCCAAAGCTTTTGTTTGACAAAGTTGTCATGCAACTTCTCTTTATTCTTAACACGAACTAAGTATCTCACGTGAACGTTGAATGTTTCAGCGTATGCAATCAAATTGGGAACATTGGAGAATATAGCGGCGGCAGAAGATGAATGGGTGTTACGATCGTTCATGAACACCTCAAGAAAAAGGCAATTGTTAAGCAACAAAGAAGATGAGAGCGGAGATGAGGACTGATTTTGGGCCAAAGAAGTACATCCTATTCTTGAAATTTAAAGCATTGCCAAGTGTTTCTCATGAACCCACCAGCGGAACTGTGCGAGCTGGCAGTGCGCTGCTTGTTCCATGTTGTTATTCCTTGTTGCGCCTGTTTTTGTTTGTTGTTACGCTTGGAATGTTATCCATTTTTTCATAAAAGCAGAGAAACATTGGATTTTTATTGTCACCATAAAGATTTCCTCACGGAACTCATCGCTGCAGAGTAGCGGTTGAGAGGTTTACCTTGGTCGGAAAGCTTAGTACATAACCCTAATTTGTACCAAAAACCCCATGAATAACA